CGCACCAGGCCTTCATAAACATTGTTGAGGAAACCCAAGACCGGCGCAGAGGAGGCTGCATGCGGGTCCATCGTGTTCGGGTCAGACGTTGTCGCCCAGCGAAACGTTTCAGCTGAGGCTGGTGCTGCGCCTAGCGCGATGGCGAGCGCCAGCGTTGACACAACCAAACGCTTTTTTGATTGGAACATAAGTTGGTTTCCTCCGAAATCCGGCCACACGCGAGGATGCGCGGGGCCTTTCTATCCATCAATGGGGCAAGGCTTGGTCACCTCGCGCCCTGACCCGGATAGTGGGCGATCAGGGTGGCGGGGCAAGCCAAATCCTTGCAGGCCCCGCCACTGTAACGACATCAGGTTCTAATCAGTGATCAATTGAACGTGAGGAACTTGAAGTGCGGCTGATCTTCAGGCTGCACATCGAAGTCAATGTTGTCGCGCATACCCCAGTTCAACACTTGGTTGTGAATGGGGATGTAGAGCACATCTTCCTGAACCTGCGCCCAGATGTCGCCAATCGTGGCGTTGCGCGCGTCAAGGTCGGTTTCCGATGCCAGCGAGACGATCATCTCATCGACCTCTGGATTGGAATACCCAGTGTTGTTCCAGGAGCCGTAATCGCCTTCGGTCGAGTGGACCAGGAAGTTGAACACATACTCACTATCGAACGTTGGAACGCCCCAGCCCAGCAGATAGAACTCAGTTTCCTGGTTCTGGATCAGCGGGAAGTGGTTGGCGCGGGTCTGCGCTTCCAGATTGGCGGTGATGCCGATCTGCGCAAGCATGCCAACCACGGCCTGACAGATCGCTTCATCGTTGATGTAGCGGTCGTTCGGGCAGTTGAAGATGATTTCAAAGCCATCTTCGTAGCCAGCTTCAGCCATCAAAGCGCGGGCCGCTTCAACGTCGGTTTCTGGCGCAGCGTCCAGCTCTTCTGTCCAGCCATTGACGAACGGAGGCATGATAACGCCCGTCGGTGCCGACTGGCCGCGCATCACGACCTGTTGGATCGCATCGCGGTTGACTGCAGTGTTGACGGCCTGGCGCACGCGCACATCGGCGAACGGGTTAGCACCCTCAACGCTGTCGGTATCCAGATCATCTTCACCTTGCTGCATGCCCAGGAAGATCACGCGGTTCTGCGGCGCGGTCACAACCTTCAGGCCATCGGTTTCGCCCACGCGGCCAAGATCCTGCACCGGAATGTCCTGGATCAGATCCACTTCGCCCGAAAGAAGGGCTGCGACGCGTGTCGCTTGGTTCTGGATCGGCGTGTAGATGATTTCAGACACTTCCAGTGGGAACTCACCAATGCCCCAATAATCAGGGTTGGCCGTCAGCACGGTGCGCACTTCTGGCTCACNCTTGTCAGGCTGAAAGCGCCTGTGCCGTTGGCGTTACGGGCAGCAAAGCTGTCTTCGCCATTAGCGATGTCCTGCACAGCAACCACATCGTTGGCTTCAGCCCAGCCCTGATCCATCATGAAGAGGTTGGTCAGGTTGTTGGGGAACAGCGGGTTCGGACCTTCGGTGCGAAAATGCACGGTGTAGTCGTCAACCTTGATCACCTCTGCCAACGACGCCAGAAGCTCTTTCATGGCCGAGGTTTCCGTGCGCGCACGGTTGATCGAGAACACAACATCGTCGGCGTTGAATTCTGCGCCATCGTGGTAGGTCACGCCTTCACGCAGTTTGAATTCCCAAATTGTTGGATCGCTCTCAAGCGGTGCCCAGCTCGTTGCCAAAGCCGGGATGATATCGCCAGCCATGTCACGCTGCAAAAGCGGCTCATAAATCTGGTGAGCGAGCGTGTGGGTTGGCCCTTCGTTTTGCGCGTGCGGATCAAGCGTCAACGAATCGCCAACACGGGCCCAGCGCAACGTTTCTGCGTTGGCGGCACCTGCAAGCATGGTTGCGCCCATAAGCACCGCAGCGGTGCGGATGAGTGTGGATTTCATATATGTAACTCCCTGTTGCATCGCCGCGATCTTTGTGACCGTCGTGCGATGAAGACATTCATCTAACCGCAAGGCGTAGGTCTTGTCACCTATGATGAAGGAACAGATCGCCCAAGCATTGGGCAGTGGTGAATATCTTTTCACACCCCAAACGACCTAACGTAAGGTCACCCAAGGTCATCAGCGAACCATGCGGGCGCGAAGTGCTGAACCTCGTCAAGAAGCTTCACCATCTGCTGCGCTTGATGGTCGATGATCGCTCGGCCGTCTTCGGCCGTGGCCTTACTGACATCACCCACCACGCCCGAAGGGTTGAGATCATCGCCCATCCAACCAA